TTAATTATGCTCCTTTTTTTTTTTTCCCCCCCTGTGAGAGCAATGATTTTGTTAATAATAAGGTTGATTGATGAGAAACAAGGTATAATTTCGAGAAGAAATATATAACGGCGTGTTTCTGGTGTTGGAAGTCCAGTGTTTTCATCCTGGAGTGCCAGGAAGGTGAGCAACACTTCCAGCTTGCCTGTAACAACTAAAGCATGAAATAAACCCAAATTCCTTTAAGCCTGAGGATAACCACAGCATTTGTCAGTCATTCTGTTTTGGATTTTCTCTGTATTTTATAAGCATCAATAGAGGAGTAGCTTAAAAAAGGAGGAGGGAGGAGGATGGTCTCCCTTGGGGACGAAGGAGCTCACAGGGGAAGCAGAATTTGCGATGGGAATATCAGGGGCACCATCCACTTGATGGTGCTTTTTCCAAAGACTGAGAAATACGTAAATCCTTCCGACTGTTCTGCCAATGTTTTGGCATTATTTTATAGATGATAAAACTGAGGGACAGAGATGGTGAAGGATCTACTCTGGGCTGTGCAGGAGCTGTGGGAAAGCCGGGATCGGAATGCGAGCGGTGGGGGCAGCTGGCACGGGCTGTTAGGATATAGGGAAAGGTGTCTGGAATGTGTAATGCTTTAGGTAATTCTACAGAACTAATGGTTGCCTGTGAAGCTAGGAAAAAAAATAAAGCTATACAAATGAAAGTTAGCTTCAGACATAAACAGTTATCGTGAATGTTTTTATTTTTTAAGGATAAATCCTGTAAAGCTAACAGTGCGTGAGACTTGGGGCATTTATCTGGACCTCCCTCCATAACTTGCTTGTCCAATGTACATTAATTTATCTGTGACGTAGACATCTGCAGTAGTATTGGGAGCAAATCTCCATCTTCCAGAGTGTTTTGAAATCTCCGGTTTGCGTCAGAGAGTGGGTGTGTGTATTTAGTGATGTTTACGTATTGCAATAAAAACATCAAAATTATCTTCTTTTTTTTTTTATATCCCAAGATTTGAAAAGAATCTAAGACCTCTTTCCTATTTCTTCCTATTTGTACACTATCACAAAACTTGAATTTGACAGGAAAAGATATTTTTCTGTCTTTCTAGGTACAAGATACTGCTTCAGCCAACACATGATGAAAGTTACTGGAGAGAGTGTGTCCGTCACCAAGCGCTGTGTACCGTTAGAGGACTGTCTGTCTACAGGATGCACATATGTAAAGCATGAAGAATACAAGGTATAGGATAAAAATTGTCTTTTTTCTCATTTAAAAACTGAGCAGAATCCTTCTGGTCTCCGGCAGAAGTCTGGCTGGTTCAGTGGGTAAATCAGCCTCGTCAAAAATGAAGTTTCTCTTCTTAACGAGCTCTGACTCATTTCCATTTCTTACAGAAACAAAGGAATAACCTGTCCTAGAACAAAAGAATAATCTCTTTAAATAACTCTCCTGCCAGCAGCTCAGGGTAGCAAACCACTTCTTTCTGGCCGAGAAGTGCTTTGCCTGCAGAACTGCACCGTTGTAGGGTCCTCTGAGGGTGGTGAGGCACCGGAACAGGTTGATATGAATCCCTGGCAGTGTTCAAGGCCAGGTTGGATGAGGCTTTGAGCAACCTGGTGTAGTGGAGGATGTCCCTGCCCATGGCAGGGCGGCTGGAAGTAGATGATCATTCAGGTCCCTTCCAACCCAAACCACTCTGATTCTGATTCTTTCTGCTCTGCAACAGATGCTCACCAACCATCTCGTGGTTTCCTTACCAAAACATGGGGAAAGCTCTGAAACTTTTGGAGCGAACTTTTTATATTTGAATCAAACAGTTATTTAGAAAATATTTTTTTTTTTTTCTGAAGGTCAATAGTTGACCTTTTTGAGCTTCTCCAATAGGTTAACAATAAAAGAGCTTTCTGAGCTGCGAGGCACACTGCATCCCCATCTCTGTTTTGCACAGAATTTTATGCTCTCTTGGCCTCAGCTGTGTTAGTTTTGTTGCTCTAAACCCGTGTGCTCTGGCAGGGTACCACTGTGACCGGCCCTTCCTAGCCCTGAGAACGCAGAGCTGCGTGTCCTTACGGGACAGTTGTCATCTATCGCTTCGGGGCCCACACACTAGGTGACAGGCAACAAAAAAAACCCAACCCTGTATGAATAAATATGGATTTGTTTGAGTTCTGAGCTCTGCTTCAACCACACAACACTGCTTTTCATCAGGTTACTTATCTGGGGTCAAAAATAAAATGACTTCTTCAAAAAGGCTGTCTCCTTTTTGCACTACTCTTCCTGTAGGGGTGGAATTGTTCTCTGGGTTGATGGATTTTAAAAAAGGTGGGGAGGAGAGGAGGAAAAAAAGAGGGAGGGAAAAACAAAAAAGAAGAGGGGGAAAAATCAGACTGTCAGCTTTGTAAATGTCATATTATTTTCCCTACGCCTTCATTCAGTGGTGCTGGTGTTTTTTCAAGTAACCAAGTTACAACCTGGCTCCTTTCAGATCTGCACCTCCTGCTGCGAAGGAAGCATCTGCAACTTGCCCCTGCCGAGGAACACAACGGACGCCGTGTTTACAACCCTCTCCCCGCTCAGCCAAGCACAGAGACTTTCACATCCCGTCCTGCTGACGGTGGCGTGTCTCTGGTTGGGGCTGATGTCACAGCACTGGGTCACGCTGTCACGCGTGGTGCAGCCGGGCAGCTGAGAACATCTGCCTGAAGGTTCAGCCTCTCCCTGCGGAGCCTGTGCTTTGGAGTTCTCTCTGAAATATTGGGTTTCCTCCTTATTTTTTTGTCCGTGATGAACTAGTGAGCCTGGGATGTAGATGTATTTGAAGGGGGTAAAACCATCACGCAATTCTCCGCTGTTTTCTGAAGAAACTCATGCGAAATGTTCCCAGAATCCTGAGACTGATGCATACACTTTGCTCAATACCTGTCTTTTCTCCCTGAAGAAATGTTATTTAGAAGTACAACATCACTGCCAGCTGCTATTGTCATCACTTACACGTTTGAAACTCTCTGGTTAGAACTTGTCACAGCACTAACTCCGGTGTCTCGTTAACCTGTTTTAGGGAATGTTGGGAAAATAATACCTAGTCAGTGTGGCTTTGCAGTCTCCCCACATCTCCTGTCCTTGGAGAGGGCAGGAGTTTGTAGCGAGGCGGTGGTAGCTGGAAGAGATGAGGTCAAAGGAGCAGCAGCAGCTTGGACCAGGCCAGCGTTGTGCACAGATGGTTGTCCCCCAACGGCACGACGAGCCACCCATCCACGGGGATGGGCAGAAAATCACTCTGGTTTATAAATCAAACCACAGAAACTCTAAAAACTCCGTTCCTGAAGCGTTGTTAGAGGGGCGGTGGGCGTGCGGTCCCTGACCCTCGGGCGCGAGGACGAGGGCACCTGGAGAGCTGGTGGGTGTCCAGGCGGAGATGCTGGTGCCTGCTGAGCCGACAGGTTCCTGCTGTTTTGAGGCTTTGTGTCTTTTCATGTTTTGGCACCCAGTCCTACCTAGTTATTTAATGCACTCCCACACTGGAGTAGGGACTGCTACAGCTCTGGTTTGGTGACCTGTGTTGCTTGGTTTGCTGGGAAAGCACGTAGGCAATATTTATTTTTGTATGTTGAGTAGCATCTAAAGTGTTTAAAAGATTTGTAAGACTGATATTGCCAGGCAAAATGGTTGTTTTGCAAGTGGCTAAGCCTGTAATATATAAATTATCATAAATATATATATATATATA